GTCTTGCTTCTTTACTTATTAACACACAGAGTATATTACTAGTTTTAGACCAGACATTGGAGCAATTCTGAGTCTCTGACCTTGCTCATGGTCTTGTTCAAATCTGAAGAGACATATGGTCTTGGACCTAGGATTCTTATTCTTTCTACATTTGGAAGGATATTATTATATATAGATTGGCTGATTCAGATCTTTCTTTATAGTTTCTTATTTTTCTCTAATCAAATGAGTGGTTGTGGACAGACTTTGGTGGAGCTTAGAGAGGATGAGATCATTCTCTTGAAGGAAAGAAAAGACCTGAAAAATGTATAATCTTCCTCTTGGCCTTCTTCTTTGTGTTACTACTATTCATCAAGTCCATGTGGGAACCTTAGATTTTGTTATTCTTTTTCCTGAATCAGGATTTGGCAAGTATGCGCGATTTGGTTGAGCAACAAAGAGCAAGAAACAATGCTTTAAAGAAGATGAAGGTGAGTTAATCAATCTCTCTAGACATTCACTCATACAACATATAAATATGTTAACTCAAGGTATATATCTTATTTGTATGTATGCAGGCTGAATCACAATCTGCCTTATCGTGCAAACTCGCTTTCGAACAAGGTTCCTCATTCTTGCTCCCTGACCTCAACATGCCTCTAGATACCGACCCGAGCACTGAAGTTCTCTGCTGAAACTACGAGCCATGAGCATATATATCATTCTTTTGTTTTTCCCCATCACAACACCAAACACAACTACACCTCCTTCCACGGACATGTTTTTAACTGTAACTATATGAACACTAAGAAGATAGATTAATCCAATATTCTCTCACCATTCGGCCATTTCCCGTGGCCGCGGATGAAGATTCGCCTCGAGGTGAGGTGATTCGAGTTCACGTTTCAGGTGTTTTTCTTAACATATGTTCCTCTGTTAGCTGGTAGTATGATTTTTGCTCTGCCATTTTCCTAAGTGATTCTTATCTTTCTCCCATTTTCATAGGTTGAGATGTAATTATCTACATAGATAAATATTAGATATACACTTCTTTTTCTTATCTCTTTGTTTAAAATGTATTGCAAAGATTAGATCTCTATCTTTTCATCAATGTAACACGTTCTAAAACTTTTATATACTCTGTAATTTGATTAATGGACTATTATGGTCATATGATGTCTCTTCTCTACAGTCTCCAAATCTCCTCTTCGTTATAAACAACAACTTGCTAATTTTAGTTTACTGTAATTACTCAAAATCATGAGTCCTAAATTGTAATTACGAAAAAGGTGGAATGACTAAAACCCTAAAATAAAAAGTGAGAGCTTCACTGTCCTTAACGACTCATTACAGTTCACGAAAATGGTGTCCCTTGGCCAGATCACCGTACCTCGCGTGACGTCTTCGGAGATGGGTCTTCTTCGCCGTCGATTTGATCGACCGATCCAAACCCGAATCGGATTCAATAGCCGGATCGCGAGCGTATTGACTAACGCGAGCTCGGAAGCTCAGGTTTCGGTGAAACAGAGTTTGAGCCAGAGAGTAATCGAAGAAGAAGCGAAAGTTCTTGTGGGTACCTACGCTCGAGCTCCAGTGGTGCTCTCGAGTGGTAAAGGTTGTAAATTGTTCGACCCAGAAGGTAAAGAGTATTTGGATTGTGCATCTGGAATCGCTGTGAATGCTCTTGGTCATGGAGATCCTGATTGGCTTCGAGCTGTTACTGAGCAAGCTGCTGTTCTTGCTCATACCAGCAATGTCTATTACACGATTCCTCAGGTAATAATTGGAGAAAGCTGATGTTTTTGTGTATTGCAATTTGATGGGGTTTTGTCATTTCTGGAGAAATCTCGAAAATTTTGTTGATGTTATTTGAGATTCTACTGTGAGATTTTCATCAAATTGCATGGTTTCTATGCCCTTCCTTGAGATGTAAGTGTTAGTCTTTCTGAATTGCTTCAATCTTTGAGCTTGTAAGGGATACATATGCACATTGACGTATTAGTGATTATTATCTCTGTGTCACTGGTTAATCTTGTTTACTTACATACACTCAGATCTTGCTCTGAGGATGGTTAGATCTTATATACCAGAAGTATCTATTATCAATGTGAAATCTTTGTGTGTACTTTCATGTTCATATACATTTGCTAAAATCTGACATGTTTTTTTTTTCACTTCTCATGTAGATAGAACTTGCGAAACGCCTTGTCGCGAGTTCTTTTGCAGACCGTGTATTCTTTTGTAACTCTGGAACCGAAGCCAACGAAGCAGCCATCAAGTTTTCAAGAAAGTTTCAGAGGTTCACCAACCCGGAAGACAAAGAAGCCGCGACAGGCTTCATTGCTTTTACAAATAGTTTCCATGGAAGAACCTTAGGAGCTCTTGCCTTGACAAGCAAAGAACAATACAGAACTCCTTTCGAACCCGTCATGCCAGGTGTGACATTCGTGGAATACGGTAACAGTCAAGCAGCCACTGACCTCATCCGCTCGGGTAATATAGCTGCTGTGTTTGTGGAACCAATTCAAGGAGAAGGCGGGATTTACTCTGCTACGAAAGAGTTTCTCCAATCTCTTCGCTCTGCTTGTGATGCCGCTGGATCCCTTCTCGTCTTCGATGAGGTACATAGTACAATATCTTGATTCATTCTTTCTGAAGTTATTTCATTTGCGAGCTACGGTTTCTCACTTCTTGTTCTTTTGAGCTTTCCAACTTCTTCAGGTTCAGTGTGGCTTAGGTCGAACTGGTAACCTGTGGGCATATGAAGCATTCGGTGTAACTCCTGACATAATGACGGTAGCAAAGCCTTTAGCCGGTGGTTTACCAATCGGAGCAGTGCTTGTGACTGAGAAAGTTGCAGGGACAATAAATTATGGAGATCATGGAAGCACATTTGCAGGCAACCCACTAGTGTGCAACGCAGCGATTGCGGTTCTTGATAAAGTATCGAAACCCTCTTTCTTGTCGAGTGTCTCAAGCAAAGGTCGATACTTTAGAGACAGTTTGGTGAAGAAACTTGGAGGAAACACTCACGTGAAAGAAGTGAGAGGAGAAGGGCTTATCATAGGAGTGGAACTCGATGTTCCCGCGAATTCATTTGTCGATGCTTGCCGTGATTCGGGTCTTCTGATATTGACGGCTGGTAAAGGGAATGTCGTCAGGATTGTTCCCCCGTTGATCATATCGGAGGAGGAAATCGAACGTGCGGTTGAGATTATGTCCCAAAACTTGACAGTGCTAGATTGAAGCTTCAGGTTGGGTACGGCGAAATATTTATCGATATTGTGTGTTTTTTTTTTATAAATCTAACGTTTCTTAATTAGCTCAAGTAATTGCCACTCACAATTCATAAAAATAATATGAAACTTGACTAATTATGAAATCAACAGGAAGCCGTAGACGTATGTATTCAAATGATTGGATTCTTTCCGGAAACTTGACTTGACTCCACTTTGTTTCTCTATTATTGCTGAGAAGGAAAAAACGTCACTTGTGTTGGTGCGTGTGACCATCTAAGCCTTACATATTTGATTGAGAAAGAGAGAACGAAGACCAAGACCTAGTGCTGTTTCCAAGTAAACGCAACCAAAACACTCACAAATACCTTAAAGAAGAAAAATAACACCAAGGAAAAAGGAAGAAATATTTTCTTGAGCAGATGATAAACATAAACATGAGCTCTAATAATAGTTTCTCTCTTTTGATTATTTTCTCTCTTTTACTTTTGTTGATCCTTGACTCCGCAGCTCTCACAGCTTTGCGCTCTTGTCCAAGCAAATGTGGAGGAATCAAGATACCGTACCCATTTGGAATCGGAAAAGGCTGCTATCTCGACAAGTGGTACGAAATTGAATGTATACATACCTCTAATAATCCAAGGAAGCTCGTCCCTTTACTTTCGGTAATAAGCAGGGAAGTTGTGTATATCTCTCTTCCCATTCAACTTGAGTATGTAGGCGCCATGCCATACGGGTCAGTTCGCTTAAAAAACCAAATAACTTCAAAGGGATGCTCCAGCCATGGAGAAGAAGAGCTTGGATCACTTTTGAATTTGACGGGTACCCCTTTTTACGTTAGCCCCAGAAACACACTGATAGCGGTTGGTTGCAACAACACGGCATCGTTGACGCATGTGGAGCCAAACATGGTGAGATGCACGTCTCTTTGCAGCACAAGATACAATACACCTACTAAAGATTATCTTGCACAACTCACTTGTAGTAATGACAAGTATGGATACGACGAGCATTGCAATGAAGGAAGCATTAGGAGTACTGAGCTAAGATGCAACGGTACTGAATGCTGCAAAGCAAACATGCCCGATATTATTCAACAGGTTGTTGGTGTTACAATTGATAATACCACAACAACGGGAGGGTGCAAAGTTGCCTCTTTAACCGACCCGACATACTTTCTTTCAAGTGCATATGATCCGCAAAGGTTTTATGCTCAAGGATATGCTATTGTTAGTCTAGGATGGTTCATCCATACGGGGAATCCTTCTTTTGTAGAGTCTCTAGGATGCTATGATTCGAAAGAGTATAGCAATGTAACACATGGGATAAATTGTGTCTGCGATTCTAATTCTAATTTAAGCTATGCAAGATGCAGTTGCAATGCCGGTTACGGTGGCAACCCATACCTTCCAGGCGGATGTACAGGTTAGTAATTGTGTTTTTATTAAATTCTTCAATGACCATGATCAAAGTAGACCTCTGGGATCATCTTCAATTGAATTTGTTTTTTTTAACCAGATATTAATGAATGCCTTGAAAAAGACGCTGATGGAAGTCTCTGGAACTGTAAGGGAGGTACTTGTATCAATTTGGAGGGAAACTATGATTGTGTGTACACAAATCATCGGCCACTTGCTATAGGTAAATTTCTATCTCTAAAACATTCGCATCCATTTAGAGATTCTGTATGATGGCGATTGTCGACATTTATTCTACTATTATCTATCCAAGTCGTACAAGAAAAGTATTTTGGTTTTCATTTTTCTTTTGTGGGTTTTGTAGGGCTTGGTTCGAGTTTCGGCTCATTGATCTTTATTGGTGTAATATACGGGTTATACAAATTTATTAGAAAGCAAATGAGGTTACGCCAAAAGAAGAAGTTTTTCAAGCGTAATGGGGGTCTATTGTTGCAACAACAATCAACTCCAACTGATGGCAATGCCGAGAAGACAAGAGTGTTTAGTTCGAGGGAGTTGGAGAAAGCTACCGAAAACTTTAGCTTAAACAGAATACTTGGCCAGGGTGGTCAAGGTACTGTGTACAAAGGAATGCTTGTTGATGGTAGAATTGTAGCGGTAAAAAAGTCTAAAGTCGTGGACGAAGACAAGCTGGAAGAATTCATCAATGAGGTTGTCATTCTCTCGCAAATCAACCACAGGAACATCGTGAAACTCTTAGGGTGTTGTCTTGAGACAAATGTCCCTGTTCTCGTCTATGAGTTTATTCCTAATGGTAACCTCTTCGAGCTTCTTCATGATGAGTTTGATGATAACACGATGGCTACTTGGGAAGTGCGTCTCCGCATTGCTGTAGATATTGCAGGAGCTCTCTCGTACTTGCACTCGTCTGCATCGTCTCCAATCTATCACAGAGACGTCAAATCTACAAACATAATGCTAGACGAGAAATATCGAGCCAAGGTATCGGATTTTGGAACTTCGAGATCGGTAACGGTGGATCATACACATTTGACAACCGTTGTTTCCGGTACGGTGGGATATGTGGATCCTGAGTACTTCCAATCTAGCCAATTCACTGATAAAAGCGATGTCTATAGCTTCGGAGTTGTGCTAGTGGAGCTCATGACAGGAGAAAAGCCGGTTTCCTTTTTGCGATCTCAAGAAAACAGAACATTGGCAACTTATTTCATTCTTGCAATGAAAGAGAATAGACTTTCCGACATTATCGATGCCCGAATAAGAGATGGTTGCAAGCTGAATCAAGTAACCGCAGTGGCGAAAATTGCTAAAAAGTGTCTGAATTTGAAAGGGAGGAAACGACCAACCATGAGAGAAGTGTCGATGGAATTGGAAAAGATTCGTTCTTCGCTCGGAGATATGCAACCACATGAGTATATTAGCGAAAACGAGGAGGAAGAAGAAAAAGACGGAGGAGTCGTGGAATTAGTTAACATAGAGGAAGAATCAAGGAACTACAACACGATTGTTACCGCTCCAGCTTCTCAATACGTTGTTGCTGCATCGTCAGATGTTGAACCATTGTTTCCTCATCAAACACGGTAAAACTTCAACCTTGCATACCACCGTATAATCTCAATGTCTTTGCTCCGAGCTGTTTGTGTGTGTGAATTTATTTATTATATTTACAAGGTCTCCAAATGTGTAATAACAACGAATCTTGTTCCTAACCACTCTGTACTCTACACTTCCCAGTGCTTAAGAAAAATTATCCATATTTTACTTATTACAGAAGTTTTTGTTGGCAACAATCACATAGTTTTTCATATTTGATAAGTTTGTGTTATGTGCACATAGGTACCATACATACATTGATGTATATTTAAGAGCTGGTGTATATGTGTTCGTTTCAAAATTTATATGTTTATGTCTGTTGGCAATTTTGTTAATCTTCTGAGCAATCGAAAGGTAATTAATTAGTGCTACTGCATTTGTTTGTCCACTAACTTATACATTAATTAAAAATTCGGAGAAAATTTTCCAGGTTCAAAACACACGTCAGATGACATGTAAACCATGATAATAGGACAGTCATATCGTGCGTCATTGCAAAGAACAAAGAGCCACGTGTACAATCAATTTACCCTATCATAATAAGTCGTCGTCAACACTTTAGAACACACACCGCCCAAACACAAAAAGTGTTTCTCGACCAACGAATCAAAACCTACTAAACTTCCACATAGGTATCTTTGTCTCTTTATATTTTTGATAAAGCTTATAAAGATAGATTTACGTTGATTTATTCTAAGAAGGACGGATTTGCGATTTTAATATGTTTAATACTCAACAAATAAAATATAATTAGTTCTACTCCACCATGATAATACGCTTAAAATCCATTATAACATTCGAATATATAATACGTATGTTTAATCTTCAAAATTAAAATAAAATTACAAACCAATTTACCTATACTTCTAACTTATTAAAAAAAATAAAGACTACATTTCATATCCATAATCTATCTACGTGTTATTTATGTTATAACTATCTGATTACTTTTTTTAATTTTGTTTTTAAAAATAAACTAATTAATAATAAATGGAAATTTTCATTCTTTGATATACTAATGTTTGATAGATGAGTATTTCTAATGATACAGCCTAATTAAACTCAATTCTTTTTAGTTATCTCAATTCTTAGCACACAAGACACAAGTAGTTGATTAGAGTACTTGACATCACTGCAGTTGTTTGTGGACTAAAAGTTATTAAAAAGAAAGAAAAACAAAAGCAATATCCACAATCAACTACTTGTGTCTTGTGTTTAAGAAAATTAATCCCACTTAAAAGGAAAATAAATTAATTATATAATCTATGTGGTATGAAATGAAAGCTGGTAAGGGTCGATTATTCCATGGCTGCATCATTCAAATGTATGTTCATAATTTCTTCCTTTTGAGGACAAAATAAATTCATTTTTTAAAAGACTTTTTCCTCTATTTATATCGCAAGAAAACTTCAAACGGAGAGTGAAACCAAATGCAAACAAACCATAGAGACTAGAGAGAGAGAGAGACTATCACAAAAGGAAAAAAAAAAAAAATGTTATCTAACGATGATCAAAAGGCGGTGGCTGCGCTCCTCCGCGGCCAAGGATGCGCTAACCACCTCAAATCGCTGATCGAAAAAGGCTATGTTCCAACGGAGTCTCTTGTCGACACAATTCTCGATTCTTTCTCACTTGCTCTATCTTTTATGATTTCATCTGTTCCTCCTCCTCCACCACCACAACATGAGTCTTCTTCTTCTCAAGATCATGTGCCCAAGAAATCACCAAAATTAAAGAAGTACAAAAACAAAAACCAAATCTTTTACATTAGTATATATTATATAAAGTTGGTGTACGACCTAATCGTCTTTTGAACACAATTCCGCAGAAAAATCTGTGAAAGAGAAGGTTTGAAGCAATACAGAGACGATTGCTTATATCCGCTCGTCAACGACGGATTCTCATGGAGGAAATATGGTCAGAAAAGGATTAAAACCTCTCCTTACCAAAGGTTAGCAGTCAAGTGGAAAGCAAAAAACAGAGCATTTACTCTGTTTTAGTTTTATAACAGAAACGCGAAAACAGAGTAAC